TCTCCTTATGTCAACTTCCCATGACAAAGACAATGGGTAGTCATTTTTCCCTCTCCTTATGTCAACTTGTCATGACAAACAGTGCTAACCTAGCCCAAAAGGTGTCATTATTTACCGAATGACACTTAATGACAGCCTTTATGAAGCGTTATTCATGTTAATGACAAGTGTCATGTCACGATAGTGACAGTGTAATGTCAGTCTTATGTACACCCCTTCAAATAAAGTGTTACCGATATTTTTCTTAACAAAAACTAGATTTTAATGATTTATATGCTGAATATATCAGATATTTATTTGTCCATGACGTATGCTAGCATGGAAGAAGTTTTATTTGGAAAATGACTGATGTGCAACTTAATGGCAGCAGTAAGCCAATTTAACAATGTCTTAAATCAGTGGGAATACTGGTTTGCTTGACGTTTTGTCAATTAGTTATTTTTTTAGATCTGTGAAGTAAAAGTCCGTGGCTTGTTTTCATTTCAATACACCAATCGCAGTCATCATAGGGGAGACAAAGTGAAGGATTCAGCTTTGGTGCTCTTTCAGAATAGTGACAGTTGAAATTATTGTGGTGTAATATTTTCATGCAGGGTAAAAAGTCATTAAAATTGATATTCCACTGCAAAAAAAAAACAAACTGGCAGGGTTCCCTCATTGCATGATCCTCGGTAAAACTTGAAATGTGTCACTGTGGTCGGTTTGCTGCTCGGATGTTTTTCATCATCTACCTGCTTCAGAGAGCCCACTCTCATCTGGACCAGTCAGGCAGCACTTTGAGGTTCATGTTCTTTGATTTCTCAAGTGCCTTCAATACTATTCAGCCTGCTTTACTATGTGAGAAGCTCCATAACTTCCAGGTGGATCCTTCCACAACCACTTGGATGTATGACTACCTAACAAACAGACCACAGTTTGTGAGACTGAAAGGTTGTGTGTCTGAGATGGTAGTCAGCAGCACTGGAGCACCACAAGGAACTGTACTCTCACCATTCCTCTTCACACTGTACACCTCAGACTTCCAGTACAACTCTGAGTCCTGTCATCTGCAGAAATGACTCTGCAGTTGTGGGGTGTATCAGATGGACAATAAACTGAGTACAGGGAACTGGTCAGTCAGTTTGTGAAATGGTGCGGTAACAATCACCTCATCTTAAATACCAGCAAGACTAAAGAGATGATTGTTGACTTCAGGAGGAGCAAGAATAAGCAGCATAGTCCTGTCTACATCCTGGGAGAGGAGGTGGAGGTGGTGGAGAATTACAAATATCTTGGAGTTCAGCTGGACAACAGACTAGACTGGAAATGCAACACTGACTACATCTACAAGAAGGGTCAGAGCAGACTCTACTTCTTAAAGAAGCTGAGATCATTCAGTGTCTGCACCAAGATGTTGCAGATCTTCTATAAGTCTGTTGTGGAAAGTGCAATCAGCTTTGCAGCCATCTGCTGGGACAGTAGCATCAGAACCAGAGACTTAAAGAAACTAAACAAGCTGATCAAGAAAGCTGGTTCTGTGCTGGGGATAACTCTGGAACCACTGGAGCTGATTGTTCAAAAAAGAATGCTGCACAAGATGATAAAGATGATGGAGGATTCTTCCCACCCTCTCCACAACACAGTGAAGAATCAACAGTGATGTGTGTTTAGTGGGAGACTGCATCAGCTTCGCTGTCGAACGGAGAGATACAAAAATTCATTCCTGCCAACAGCCATCACCTTGAAGAGCAAATCTGACTGACTGACAATTGACTGACTGAATGATTATTATTATTGTTGTATAAAATATATGTTATATTGATTAAAAAAAAAGAAAAAAAAAAGTGAGCTTTTACAATACTGAATTTCCCTTCTGGGATAAATAAAATATTTTTCATTCATTTTCATTTCATTCATTGATGTTGAAGTGTTGTTTCCCATCGTAAAGAAAATGGTAATACACGGATAGCAGAAGGAAGGGCAAAGCCGACTGAAATAAGTGGTAGCTTATACCCAAATCCTACATCTGGTGTGTCAGACTATTGGTTAATGGTCACAGCAGCAGTGCAGAAGGAAATAGGCTGTTTTTCATTTGTGTAGAATTGCCTTATGTCAACCAACCAGAGTGCCTCATTTCAGCAACCACAAATCACAAAACATTTTTTATGTTCTTAGCCTATTCCACTTTTTTTGCTTCCCAACATCGGCCAGCGGAAGATGCACTGAGCAAAACTGCTGTGGTGGTTCAGAGACCAACTCAGACATACAATAGACAGCTTAGATTGACCCAAACCAGGCAGGATGAGAGCCAGAGAAGAGGATAGATAGAAGGATGGATGAAGGTGGAAGGGAAGAAATGATCCTTTGTGGACGAATGCTGTATGAGCTCCCATCATTTGTTCCTTCTTCCTTTTTCCTCTGCATTCCTTTGCAGCTCCAACTCCTGCTGTCTTTGTTCACCCGCAACTTCTCGATCTATCCACGAATTCTTTGGCCTCATCCTTTCTCCCCTTGAATTCTTTACCTTGTCGTTGACTACTTTATCCCTCTGTTTCCATTTTTGTCCTTCTCCCCACTCTCCCTCCACCATCATATTCACTCTGAATTTTCCATCCATCGCTGTCTCTTTCTTTCTTTCTTTCTTTCTTTCTTTCTTTCTTTCTTTCTTTCTCACTGTGCCCCCCCCACCCCCCACCCATTCCCCTCTCCAGGCTGATTTGCCTCGCCCGATGGCCGGGTATTTGACAGGCCTGCTGTGGGAAGATAGCGTGATTGAATGTGAGTCCCTGGGGTGGGAGGAGGAGGGTAAAAAAAGGGTGAAGTGGTATTAGCTGGTGAAAAGGGGTTGGCATCAAGCGGCTGCGAGGAGAGGAGGAGAGGGAGTGGGTAGGCTCTGGGCTATAAAAGAGATAGAGGCAGACATGGGGCTTAGGGTTAGCCAGGCAGACTGACGCCCGAGAGAGAGGTAGAGAAAGAGAGAGAGAGAGAGAGAGAGAGAGAGAGAGAGAGAGAGAGAGGAACAGGAAGAGGAAGAGAGGAAGAGAGAACAAGTTGGAGTAGCAATGGATCTCGCACGAAAAAGCACGATATGTAGTCTGGTGCTCAGCTACATTTTTAACAATGGGTTTTTCATAACACAAGGGGTTACAGACAAACACACAGAGTTATGTTTAACGGCAGACGTATGGTTTTAGGGTGCAGGTGATACCAAGGACCACGCTGTGTCCAGTTCAAGGGCAATACGTTTGCTTTGATAATTTCTTGTAGGTCAGTAGTTATGGAACCTTTACTGTTGAGATACAGAGGGGCTAACCGTGCCAGACTTAATAAAGTCTATAGTGTAATGAAAGAAAGGTAACCAAACTGAATGATCACAGCAATAGAATAGTGTATCTGAGTGTGGACTCTATAGCGCAGAGGTTGATATTTTATGGTGATTTCACCCAATGACGTGGTCAAACTGTGAGTCCTTTAACCTTATCCACACTAAGAAGAATAAGTGCGCAAAATAACTCCTTCCATAATGCAACTCTTTACAGGTAAAGATTTAAGAAACTCAGTGAAAATGTTGCAACAACAGGGCACTCATTGAAATACTTGGAAATGTAAAATTTCAACCCTGGAGTGTTATTGGTGGATATAAGAAGACATTATTAAAAAATTTCAGATTTAGGATGCAAATCAAAGTCAAAGCAGTTACCATTTCTTGCCCACCTTGGGTAAAAAAAAAAAAAAACCAAACAAATAAGAATTCCAAATAATATGTGGATCAATTATTGTAAAGGAACCTTTATTTCCTAATCACCAGCTAGACTTACAGAACTTATGACATGTGTCAATATATCACTCTGGCTTACTTGTGATTGGTCAGACGCCATAGTAACTATGCTGTGATGTAGTCTGACCTTCCTTGATTAGCTGGATGAAGTCAAGTAATTCTGCCCTCTGCCATTTTTAAATTCTGTGAAAGTTACCATATATGGTTCCTTGCCTGATAAAGGGTAAGCTTAACTGGGCATTGAACACAGTTGTCAGTCGGGGTATAAAACCAGCAATCATGATGATAAACTAATTACCGTCTAGTTCCCAGAGTAGGGAACACCTTGACACTGTGCTTGTGCTGTAGCTCCCAACCAGGAGGATCCTGGCAAGTGAAGAACTGATTGATGGCATCATGTGAGTCACAGTAGATCTATGGCTGTCTTCACCCTTCTTAGGCCACATCAGCTATCAGTCCACTACACTCAGACTGATATTGTACACTTTTGTTTAGCCCTGGACTTCCTTCTCCATTTTCATCGTCGTCATCTCCCATTTTCCTCCACTTTTTTTTTTTTTTTTTATCCACCCATCCAGTGGCTCACCTCCAATCAACCTTGGAGCATCTGACAGCCAAGCAAGAGACAGAGAGAGAAAGGCCGACAGAGTGGAGGAAGTAGTGCAGGGGGTCGTCAGATTGCTGTAAAGGGCTTGAGAGTTGACAGCTTTAGGAAATGACAGCTGACCCCTCTTATATACAGAAAGTGAATAAAGATGGTGTAGGGTGGAGAGAGGATGGAGGGGTGGAGGAGAAGGGTAGGAGAGGAGTGCGTGAGAGGGAATGCACTAATATCAGTGCTATAAAAAAGTCTATTCAATTTAACCATTCGAAGCTTCATCTTCAGTTCAATCTTCGGTGTGTGTATGTGTGCGTGTGTGTGTGTATGTGTGTGTGCATGTTTGGTTATGATACAGTGTACAGGCTTGTGACTGCCTAGAGGTGACATTTCATTGGTTAGTTTTGTTCTGTGTCACTGCTGTAACATCACACATACTTTGCTCCCATGTATCCTTTTGTGTAGTATATATGGTTGGTGGGTAAAATAGATGCACAAATGACAAAGTAGCATAAGGACATGATGTCAAAGATGTCTACAGTAACAGAATTCCAAGGTGCAGCTGCAGCTGGAGGCAACAGATGAGTATATTTCAGCTAAAACTCAATCAGTAATTTTCAGTAGTTCCACAGCATGGGGCAGTATAGATCTTTTCTCCAAATCAGAATTATAACACATAAACAACTCTTTGTGAACACACAAAGCTTTGTTCAGCATGGGGTTTTGGATATAGTGCTTTCTGAGGGTGATTTTGAGGTTTTTGTTTTTTGATTGACGACAAAAAATTAAAAAAAAACAAACAAAAAGAACTCTGTCACCATAAATCACCATAAATGCTAATTTGATAAGACAGTTTAAATGCACACCGGTAACTCTTCAGAACTGGACTTTCAGAGAACGTTCCAAATGTGGCAGGAGCACTGGAGTGTTGTGTCACTTTATAAGGGGGTGACTTTGATTTGACTTTGGCTGCTATCCCCTTTAGTCTCTGAACTGTTTGATCTCACCTCATAAAAATAAGCACCTATAATAATAATAAAAAAAGACATTAGTTGGGTGTTCACAGGGCTTCCAACATTGGTGATTTCAGGAAGTCCTCCAAAGCAACAAGTTTTAACCTAAAGTTATCATAGGCTGGCAAAGTATGCAGATGGCGATAAATGGACAGATAGACAAAAAAACCAGAGAGCTCTTTCCTTTCTATTTCCAACCATCGGGTTGCTTTCTTTTATCAATGACCGCGTGGTTTACACACTTAACCCTTAGAACCTGATGAATGTGCTATGCACCCAAATTCACAGTCCTTCTTCTTGGCTGATTTGTTGTTGAAGTATTCATTGCAGAGAGGTGCAGCATGTATCAAATGAAGCTGAACAACTTGACCTGACTTGGAGTTTTGACAAAAAAAAATAATTTTGAATTTACATAAAATATTTCAGTTACAATGGTCACATACTTACAACCTGCATACAGCTATACATCTGTCTCCACACCAACTACTTTTATTTAAATTACTCATTAACTTGGCATTGCATAGATATGTTATTATCCATTTATGTTAACCTTTATGGATGCAATGCAATCATTGTATAGATATTAACATGTCTGTGCAACAATATGTTAGCGTCTACTGCCAGTATTTTAAGGTGAGATAAATGTAAAATCATCACAATTTCATTGTAACATAGTAAGAGATTTGGAGGTTTTTTGAGAAAGCCAACTGCCGCTGCTATTGCTCTAGGTGGAGGTTTGAGTGTCACTCCACTAAATTGCTGTTGTGTGTACGAGCAACAGACCCCTTATTCTGTCCTCACACAGGCGTGCTGGACTATGCTAGACAGATAGCGAACAAAAAAGACCTCAGGCTGTTGAAAGTGCCTTCATCTTTTATGTAAAACTGAAAAATAAACACAAGAAAATATATATCACTATACACTGTGTAAATACATAAAGAGTTCAAAAGAAACACATGAACTGAATGAAAATGCGTAAGCCTAGGTCCATTCAATCAAATATGCAATAGTTTTAACTTATAGAAATGTATTCATATTCATGTCAACAACGGGAACATAGCGGCTGCAATGCATTTTGATCGTAATAGCCTAGCATTCATTCATTCATAGCTAGCACACAGCGAGCAACACACAAAGCTACGTTGCGGCTAAAACGACAACATTTATTAATGCGCTGACATAGAAATCTCAAATATTTCTTATCAATACAGTGCTACAACATCATAAGCTTTTGTAACTTACGGACAAAGATACTCCAAAGCTTAGATAACGCCAACGAAACTATCCTCGTACCACACTGTGGAGCGGCCATGCTTGACTGCCTTACTCTCTGCCAGAAACAAACCCTACTCGCCTCCGGTCACCAGGGGGCAGCCAAACGGAACAGAACAGAAT